CAACATAAAAATTTGACCAATCCCATTCTCCCCCGAAGCCCCATTTTGAGTTTTATGAAAAAGTATCAAATCAAGATGGCGGCCGAAGTATTTTTTTCGGACTAAATTTTATTTTAAAATCGGCCATAGAATTAAGATTAATAACGATATACATAATTTCGTTGAAATATTTCAATCACACCGGAAGTTATTCAACCGGAAGTGAAAATCGATTTTCCACTTTAACCGGAAGTGACGCAAAAATTTTGAATACGTCAAATGGTTTACATTAGTGACATGCATCTTTTATCAAAATTTCAGATAAATCCGAAAAAAACTGCAAAATGGTCCAAAAATTTCGAAAATCGGCCAAAAAATGTATGCTACGAATTTTCGAAATTTGAAATTTTTTAAGTGCTATCAGGTCAGATTTGTAGAAATGATTGTACAAATGAAAACCCGAAGAAAATCGATGCAAAAATACGCCTTCTAGAACCGATTTTCGATTTTTTGCACATGTTGAACTGTGGCACTTCCGGTTTTGCAAAAATGTTCCAATATATACTTAAGGAACACGTCGCCACTATAGAAGGTCTAGAGAAGTTGAATGGTTGCTGCAAGTATTGTAGTCTAAGCTCAGGAAGGTGTGTAAATTTCGAAAAAAAAAAAAAAAAAAAAAAAAAAAAAAAAAAAAGAATTGACATTTCGATAACAAACTGGGACTTTGCTGAAAGCAAAGTCCCACAATAACAGAAAAAAATGGAGGACAAATATAAGATTCCACGAAAGGCCGGTGAATGGAAAAATCTTTAAATCTTTAAGTAATACACCAAATTTGTTATCTTTTATGCTAGCGAAGACTGGAAGCAAGGTGGTACTACCAAAATAAGGCATGACAGACGCAAATTAGAAATATAATTGAATAGGACAGATGGATCTGTTTTTCTAAAAGAAAATTTTTCAAATAAACTTGAAAGTTAACAATGTTTTAGATTAGTCTGGAATAATCAAGGTTGAAGCACCAATGTTTTAAACGACTATATTATCTAACAAAATGGTTATAAGATCGCTTATATGTATCGCATGCCGAAACGCACCACCCACCAATTAGGTGAAACTTGGTCGGATGAACCTTACTAGTGCCCAAAAACATTTTTATCAATAGCAGGTTGGGTCAGTCTGACATTATTTGACCAACTGTTCGCAAATAAAAACTAATGATAAATTGAAACTCTCCTGAAAACCAAGTACTTTTCTGGATAGACTGTAGCTTCTGCTACAGCGTTATAAACGGTTTCCACTTTCAACCGTAGGCTGTACAATATCAAAATGATCAACACTGATTGAAGGTTATAACGTTCTTTAAATCTCAGCAAACTTAGCAATATTGTATATAGACGGAATTTCTAGATTTTTATTAGACTATCGTCTCTTGCAACAATGTTTTATGGTTTGTTGTTAGTTACTTTCATTATGAATGTTTAGTTGAGATTTAATTATTGTGTTGGCTATCGATACTTTAATGATAAATCAATATTCTTTATACCAGCAGACTAACTTTCTTATTATTGATATTCTAAACTGGTTAACAGTCTTAAATAATAATCAGCCTCTTATCATACTCTCTGTGATACCAGCAATTAAGGTATTTCATGAAGTCTCAAACAGAACTTATTGTTCGGTAAGTATTTTTGAAGTCTTTCATACAGGGCAGAATAAAATATTTTTGATATTCGAGGTCATGAGAGCTATCATTACCAAACTTCAAATGTTCTCACTTGGTATTCTCTTGGTATAGAAAAAGATGTACCAGGTTTTATAAAGGGTAGCTGTCTGCAATCAAATATGGCCCATATGTTTTTGTCAAGTTAGTATATCTAACCATTTCAACGGGTTTAAAAGGCCACCAAGAAACTCATCCAGAACAAGTTTGGCATCAGTGTCACCTATATTGTTCAGATATGATTAAAATAAGTTCGCACGATCGGATAACGAAATCACTTGAAAACTTACGGAGCTACAACATTTGCAATATACGAGATCAAGAAAGTAACTGAAACGAAAGCGCTCAAATTTGAACTTGGTCTTAAATATATGATTATGTATACACATTCCAATATTTATCAAGATCGACTGCTAACGAGGAAATGGGAGTGATTTGGGCGTATAATGAAAGAACTATCAACTGGGAAAATGTTTTTATTTAATAGTCGCAAAAGAAATTTGAATCATGATTACCGTTTGATAACCTTTATTTTAATACCATATTTAGCTCTCATTATCACACTTTCAATTTTCTCTACCGAATGATCTAGATCGAGTTCAATACTAAACCTATTTAACACCTTTACAAGAGCAACTTTCATTTCGTGCAATGCAAAGTTCTGCCCGATACAGTTACGTGGTCCTGCTGAAAATGGAACATGTGCAAACGGGTTCATCTTTTCCATCTTTTCTGGTAGAAATCTATCTGGATTGAAAATCAACGAATCGGTCCAATAGACCGGATTATGATGAACATTGTAAATCAGAATAGACGCCGTGGTGTCTTTGGGCAGCAGTTTCTCATCTATAATATAGTCTTGTTGTGTTTGTCGAATTATAAAGCTAACAACATTGTGGAGCCGTAAAGACTCCTTGATACACATGGAAAGGTATGGTAGTTTAGTTAAATCTGTTGGACTGAGGTCATCAGTATTCTTCATTGCTAATAAACTATCAACTTCTTTCTGTAATGTTTTCTGAATTTCTTGATTCTGAGCTATGGAGAATAATGTCCAATAAATACCACTCGCCGTCGTGTCATGACCCTCGAATAAAAATGTATCCACTTCATCTCGTATTTCACGATCAGTTAAACCAACATTGTTTTCATCTCTAGCTCGTAGAAGAATGTCAAGGAAATCATGGTACTTCTTCTGGTGTGACATTTGCTGTTCTAAATTGAGTCGTCTTTTGGAAATTATATCACTAGCTATTTCATGAACATAGTCGCAGTATTTCTTGAAATCTTTACCATCTTTAGTTAGGGAAAATATCCAATCGTTGTGCAACCAGGGTTTCATAAATCTTCTAATTAAAATTTTACTTAATTCGGACACGGCTTTAACATAAGGGTGGTTTTCTCCAGTAGACTGACATTTGGTTTCATAAGAAAACACACACTTCAAAATAACATCTAATGTAAACATCGTCACTGGTTGACAAATATCAATGTATTCTCCAGTAGCTGCAAAGTCATTCAAATTCTCACAAAACGCGTTGGCAGCGTTGTTTTTAATGTCTAAATATGATTTCAGTTTATCAAAATGAAAAGCTGGAGTCAGAAGTCTTCGATTACGGGCCCATTTTTGACCATTACTTAATAGTAGTCCATCACCAAGCCATGGTCGCAAAAACTCGTACAATCTACCTTTAGGTTCGGCCGTTTTCAGAAGTATCTTGACAGTTTCTGGAGCATTTAAACAGACCGAAGGCAAAATTGGTCCATACTGCATATAGTAGCACTTGGGATATTTACTGGTTAATTCTCTCCTCCATTTTAAACCTCGTTCATCCGGTTCATCAGGAAACATTAACCAATGACCCCAAAACCAATGTAGCTTGTCATGAGGAAATTTCTTCAATAATGACAACCACTGAAAATAATGTTTAAGTCCAATAATGGCTCTAAAAAGTATATATACAATAGCTGTAGCAAACACAGTGAATATTGTTACTGATACAGTCTCCATGATGATATCCTTATTTAATATTCAGGTATCTTATCAGTGAAACAACCAGGTCAAAATGTTGATATGTTTTTAGATTAACGTAAAAAATCACTTCGACAATCACATAAAAGGTTTCACAACCTGTGTTTTAAAGAACAAAGTCCAAAAATAGTTCTGCTCTTTTTTATCAATCGTTAAACCCAGAATTGATTTAAAATTAGGAACTTCGTTATATCAACTTTTATTGTAATTACAAAAAATGCGCTAAAAAAGAGTTTGTGACTTCGATATATTCACACATGCTTGGTCACAAAGTCATATCGAAACAGTTCCTAGTCTTCATCCTCAAAAATATATATAAATCACAACATGTATTTATTTTCAGGTTATAGATACCCGAAACGTCTACTAATTGCATGCGAAATTCAACATGAATAAGTAATGGTACTGAATATTACGGGGTAATAGACTAAACAAATTTATTGGCTGGAAACGGAGTCTTCCAAATGTAATAACTCAGGTTTTTACCTCGACATTCCTTTTAAATGGACTTCATAGCTTACAACTTTTACGGCTTTAATTCTTTTTTCAGATTACAACAAATATAATTAGTATACAGAACTATATTAAGATATTTAATCTGAAGATCAGAAGATAAATACGAGAATGTCGGGTGGTGATTTGCATATTAACCATAACCAATGGGATTATCTGTATAATGATACTGAACAATCAGATATATGTCTCAACAATAGACAGTCAATAGACCATGATATAAACCATTTAACGTTTGATCACGTGTCCCCTTCTATATCTACTCAACAAAACCCCCCTTTGGTTACCAACGAAAATGCATTTAATTATCACACGAGATCAAACGAGATTAGCTCAAATGTAAGCGACACTTACGAAAGTTTTTTGAAGGAGGGTGATCTTGGCCTAGACGAATATAATATTAGTGATTCACCAGATTTTGCTAGTCCGGGCACTAAGAATAGATACACACATGACAGTGGCTGTGATTACATTCAAACAGGAATTGAGGAGGATTTACCTTGGTTAGGTGAGAATAGATTATCTCAAATCTCGGAGGATAGCGCCGGAGAAATCTCTGATGATTCAAATCAAGAGGACGCTGATGAGAATGAAAGTAAGTGTTTAGATACAGAAAGTGAAGAAGTAGATCAGAGAAAGAGTTCACACAGAAATTTGGATGAGCTTAGTGAATCTTTTGAAGTAAAGGTGAACGACGAAGCAAGAGAAGATAATATAAGTACTCAACCCAAAGCTAAAGAGTACAGTTCAAATTACAGATCAACGATAAGGAAATCACAGAAAAGTGTATCGTTTCAAGATTCAGTTGGAATAATAGATGATTCTGAAAGTGATGAATTAGAGTTGATTTTCTCTGAAAAGTCTTTTTCATTTGAGGAAAACGGAAGTTTGGTCTCTGATACATCCCATCAGGATATTGACGGTGAAGATCAACAAGATGTGTTTGATGCGTCAACATTACGATCTGAATCATTAGATATATATACAGATGATCATGTTGATGAGTATGATAGTGATTGGGAAAATTATTCATCAGATGGTGGTAGTACATTAGGAAGTCAACGTAGTAGATCATCAACTTCAGGATCAACTGTTACTAACCATAATACTGATAATTCTGATTCCCTAGACTCTTTTACTACTTCATTTATACCAACATACTTGGATAACCAATCAACAGACTTTGATAGCCAACCAACAGAAGTTGACAGCAAACCAATAGACTTTGATAGCCAACAAAAAGAAGTTGATAGCAAAGCAACAGACTTTGATAGCCAACCAACAAATGAACAACCATCATACATAGAAAGCATTGCAAAAGAATTTCGTGGCACACCATCGAAGGATTTTTATACTTTTGATAATTCTCGAACCTTAGCTCTTTACCCAGACGAAAACGGGTCAGATTGGAAAAGACCGGTCAGTGCGAAAATGACAAGCAGGGAAGAAGTTGTGAATATGGAACCTAATTCCCTGTCAATGTCGAAATCATTTTGTCAAGAAGTGAAATATGGAAATCAGAACGTTGTCTCTCTGCAAATCAGTCTTCAGAATATATTCCAGAAATCAGGCCATATACTAGGCCAATACAAAGAGAAATTATCTACAGAACAATTAAAAGACTTTGCCTTGAATTTGACAGATTTTCATGAAAGTTTTGTAGCATTAAGTGAATTGTTTGCAAGTTGTGAGAGTTTGTCTCAAGTTATAAATAAAGACTTAAAAGATATTCGCCATGTAACGGACGATGTGTGTAATTTAATTAATCGTAAGTTCAGAGATGAAGACTTGGTAACCTGGGTTGATCATACAGAGAAAGATCATCAAGGTGAGCATATATTCATTAACAGTTGAAATTAATTATGTATTTCAAGATCATAAAATACAGGTCATGAACACAAGATTTTATAATAAGGTGGGGTGGGGGGGGGGGGGGTTGATTTGAGTCTCGAATGTATGTAAATAGTCTTCAGAAGTACTAGAAGTTTACGAAAATTGCATAGTTCCTTAAAAAAATATCTCTATATATTTCGTTTCCTATTTCTATAGATGTCTTTTTTTTTTATAAATGGCAGTGTCTCAAGAAAAGACGACTCGTTTTTTAACTTTCAAACGCGGAAAATTCTCCTACATACGGCTTTTTCAAGAGATTTTTTTAAAAAGTACACACAATTGTTATATTTTCGGTATTTTTGTTTTTTTTTCGTATAAAAATTAAATAATTTACGCCATTAAATCTCTCAACTGTATCTATCCTTCAATTCCTTCAATATTAATGAATTGCTTAGTAACAATCAGATTAAAGGTTTTTCTATCTTCTGATATCTTTTTAAATATCACTGTTTCTAAGAAGCTTTAACACCATATAAAAAGGAACGATTATAATATGACAGCCATATTCAAGGTTTCTAGATAACGATCACCAATCCATTGGTCTATACATATTTCATGTTTGTTAAGATCATTGTCAATACAAAAATCACACAAAATATACCCCACTCTACCGATTAAATAAACCAAGTCGCTTTTTAGATTATAAGAATAGTATATTGTAGTGTTGTTGTGAGGGTTAAAATAAAACATAAATACTGTATATGATTGAATGAATGTATTGTAGTTGAAGTCAACATGTCAAATCTCGACTAATTTAAGCTTGATAGATCTGTTCTTTATAACAGTTCAATATTCATTAATCTCTAATTATTAAATAATATTTTATTGATTCTTTGTAAACATTTATTAAGTTTTAGCTAACTTTAGTTGATTAATGTCGCTTGCCAAACAATCAACTTCCAATGGATTGTAATCTCCATTACATTTTTTGATTTGAAATTTGAAATCATTTCAGCTGTTGCACGTCAGGTGATTAGGTTTATAGACTTGACTGCATTTTGAATATTGATTCTCAAGTATTTAAAGACATCTACTGACACAATAACATTTTCTTATGTCAGAATGTTCTATTTCTGTCGTCGATCGATCTATACTGGTCCAAGTTATTTTTTTAAAATAAATATTCAAGGTAATTAGGACTCGATTCATACAGGTAAAGTAATATTAGTGTCAGTATCCCATTTGTCGCAATATAATAATATTTACAACAGTTAAAGATAATTTTGTTAATTTAAAGCATTATTTTGATAAGATAAGATGCACACATTGTCTATCGATGACATTGAAGTTTTTATGCTTTTGCCTTTGCAAACCTGAATTAAAGTAAGTTTTATTTCAAGATTTCTATCTGAAGATGGAACAGGGAAGCAAAACTCGTCATCTCGTTATATGGACATAACGTTCTTATGGACCTATTTAAATGTTTTTTTACTCAATCTCTCAACTCTCTCATCCTTTTGTTTTTTCTTTAATATTCAGAAAAAGAAAGGTTAGAAGAAGAACGCATTGCTACTGATAAAGCACTTTTAGCTAAAGCAGCAGAAGCTCGAGCCTCGTCTGCCAAAGCAGTAACCATTATAGCTGAAACAGACAAAATTATTGCAGATTCCGAAACAGAAGCTGTTGAGGCTGAACTTGCAGCTAAACGAGCACGCGAACTAGCAGACGATGTCATTAAAGCTGCTGAAGATGCTAGACGTGCTGCCGAGGAGAGACGGAAGGCAGAAATGGAGGCAAAAAGAAGAGCAGATGAAAAGGCGAGAGTAAAAGCTGAAGAGGAACGTCAGAAGAAAGAAGAAGAGACAAAACGAATTGAAGCTGAAGCTAGGAAGAGAGGAACATCATTTGATGTCGAAAAAAGCCGAGAAGAGGAAGAAAAGAGAAAAAGGGAAGCCGAACGGAAAAATCCTAATAATTGGCCACGTTACATGTAAGTGATCATTAGGGGGTTGTATTCATCAATAATTGCTACATAGAAAACCATATGCATGTATACAATATTACTTTAGACGTATGTAAAAAATGTAATTCACGAACATCTATTTTAGAAGTGGTTATTCAATCCCTAATCTTTGTATTCTCATCATCGTCTGAAGAGGTTAATGTCATGGTAAATATTCGTTTCTCTACAAAATTGTACTAATTGTATTTTCACAGCTATAGTATCGAAAGTGAAGATTTTAACCCTGGTATTGGTTGTATTATAAGATCTATTAAAGGATCTTTAGACAGAGATGATATAGAAGTAAACAGAATAGATCAAATAACAGGAGGATACCAAATACACGAAAATGAAGAACTAATATCTAATATAATTGTAGTTAAACAGATGACAGATAAAAATCTCGAGGTAAGGGAATACATGGAATAAAGAGTAGCACTGCCATATCTGATTTATACATTGAATAAGCTCGTTTGAAGTTTGTAACAAAACAACCAACCAATCTTGATCCGTAAACATTCGTGGATGTATTAAAGTTGAAAATAGGCATATTTGAAAAAGTGAATATATAAATTTGAAGGAATTATCTGATACGTTTATTTTCATTCCAGTTTGAAGAACCCTTATCCATCGTAATGCCACATTGTGCACCACGATCTACGACCGGAAGAGAACCTGTAATGAAATGTTATGATGATACTGCTGCTAACTGGGTAGAATTACAGACAAATGATGTTATGTTTGACGATATAAAGGTAACTTTCTAGGAATGGAATCACAATTCATCGCATAAATATCTGTAATAGTCGCGGCAACATAAATGTATAAGTGGTATTGGCAAGTATATGAATTAAATCAGGCTTTAATCGAGGATTCTGGACAAACTATTATTCTTACTTAATTTTTCGATTCCAGGATCTTCGATTTGTTGAAGCCCGTGTGACTAAATTGGGCAAGTTTGTTGTTGTCTATAGATTAAAGAAAGAGCAGTTTACCTTCACTAAAAAGGGTGGAAAACAATCATCTACTGTTGACAGTCGTTTTACTTTAACGACTAAACCAGGTGCTTTTAGGTATAATTTGGGGGTTTCCACTGAGGTATGTATAAGTCTTTCTTTACCTTGTAAACACATTTCACCCAGAGGAAGCTGTGCTATAGCTCATTTTATTTTACCAAATATGCATTTGTGTCTTATCAGTAAAAAAAGGCATTGTATAGTAGAACGTATAAGACTTCAACTCATTTCAATGCAAATCTGTCATTAAAGAAAGTAGGCAAGATAAATGTATATTCGATAATGGACTTTTGGGAAAGATAAGTCATGCATATCTATCTGTATGTACTAAAATAGCATAATTATAATGTAACGCAAAGTATCTTACCTCTGTACTTTAGATTCAACCAGTAGATTCGAACACTGTTTCTGAATTAAGACAACGAGATAATGAAATATGTGGTGCATTGCTAGCTTCTACATCAATAATCACAATGACATGGAAACAAAATACAAGGCTATCTAAACCAATAACTATAACCCTACCTTGTCCACCTAATCCAGCTCGTATTAAACGACCTTCTACAGCTGTCAATAGAGAAAAAGTGGCGAAACAGGATGCTAGACCTCAAACAGCTCGACCTGCCTCTGAATACTTTAAGCATACAGGTGAGTGTACATATGTACATACGTTTTCGTTTCTCACTTCTTGTCTTTGGCTACCAGACTTTACCAATTGGTTTTTGCGCCTAGAGAACCAAGACCACATGATCTGCATTATTACGAAGGAAGGAAGAAATAGATGATGAAAACTGTTTTAAACAATAACGACTTTAGATCTATCTGAAATGGCATCTTTTTAAATAATATACATGTATAGTGTTACATTTCCGAGATCAATGCAAGGGAATAATCCACAGACTTCCCAATGAATATTTTATTATAGCTGCTACTAATGTGTTTCCAACTTGTTTGGATTTTTTAGTTTCGTTTTGAGTTAAGGATTGTTAGTACTTTGAGTTTTGATATTTTAATTACAATTACGGTACCAATTATCAGACAAACTGTACTATTGATACTATGCATTCATTTATCAATAATCCTTTCACAAACCATTCATAGACGATGCTAAATTAGAAGAAGAATTACATTTGGTAATAAAAGATAATACAAGTGGATGGCTGACTGTTCCAGATGTGGTGATTACACAGGCGAAAAATAAAGATATTATATCATTGGATATAACAGAACCTATCACAAGGTACAATTTAGTTCTTAGTCATTTATATATCATGCTCGGGTTACATACATGGATTGGGATGTCGTGATCTTTAGCGCAACATGATCTTATTAATTCTGAAAAAGATCAAGATTAAGAACTATTGATATGCACCAGCCCTCACAAGCGGTTCGTCTCTGACAGTGATACAGGTCAAGGGACTGAAATAGAAAAGCCATATAGTCGGACCTCTTCAGATAGAGACATAGCAAGTAAAATACTATAGTAAGTTACAAATCTAAGTTTTGTGCAGCTGTCTGGGCAAAATGTGTCGTAATGAGCTGGACTTTGATGTTGCTGAATCTTGTTCTTGCAGATTTGTGGTATTACGAACAAAGATGGACCTCGCAGAATATCAAGCAGAAAAGATGGTGAGTAGGCTGGAAAAAGCACTGTTGCAGAGAACAATACAATTATTTCTACGTCAGAATACTGAAGATTTGAATGAAATATTAGTGTCATGTGCTAACACGAATAAGATAGAGAAAGTATTAAAACGATTAGATGAAGAAGGTTATGATGAAGGACCACCTCTCAGTAAAGATATTATTGTAAGAGAAGGTCAAGTTCTAGAACTGAGATTTAGAGGTAACCTAGCACCAGTCACGGAACACAGAACAAAAATAGCCTTTAACTCTCATATTAACAGTCAAATCACGTTTCGTGTAGAAGAACTGGATAAATTTGCTCAGCGCGGTTTTGATAGCTACAGAGGATTTTGTCAGGTTTTCACAGATGGACTGGTACCTAAGGTTATTCAGGAACAAGAGGAACGAGACACAGGTAAAGGTCGAAATAATCCAAAGAACACTCATGTTGAAATGGTTGAAGGAGAAATATTATTGGGAGAATTATTGATGAACATACCAAAGGTGGGTTTTGATCTCTCTTGAATAAGCTGCAACGCCTTAAGAACAAATCGCCTTAAGAACAAATCGTCTTGAAATGCAGATGTCCAGTCATGTTATGTGTCTATGTATTGCTAAATTATTCTTGATATATGAAAATTCTTCTTTTACTTTATTGTTTCCAATCTTATTTACCAAACTGCATAATAAGTTATGCTAACTAAAAAAAGAGATTATAATTAATATCCCAAATTTTCTGCCATGTTGTAGATATTTTTTTTTCTTTTAAAAAAAGAGCATTTGATTGTTTGAATTATTTAGAAATATTGTGAATTTCTGTAGATATTTTATGCAATATTTACCTGTTGGATTTTGTTTTGGAACCAAAGAAACCTTCTGCCCTTAGCAACACTAGCCTAGACCTATCTTACTATTAGCCCATCTTTGGTAAGAAAAACTTTGGACTTTTTTTCAGCCTGAACCAGAGCCACCGAGGCCGCTGGTAAAAGCTCCTGTCTCCATTAAACCAGAAGGTATGATTAGTTGAGTTATATTCTGATTGATCTACAAATGATCTAGTGACTGCGTACTTGATGTGTATTTTCTGAAATAATTCGTTATCATCATGTAGTTATCTATCAAGTTCTGAGTCCAGGTTGAAAACTTTATTAAATACCAGCTCCACTGATGTTGTGTTGATAGTGAGTAAGAAACAATATGATGTCATTGTCTAAATTTGTTCAACACAAAATGCCTTTCAAACGGCTAGTGATGTTTTTGAAAAATTAAAATAATGGCCAATGGAAAAAGTTTTAATCGATGGTTGGTTTTATTTTAGGTCCAGTAAATGAAGATGTTTTTAGATTCATCTCCCGAGAAGTTGGTGATGAATGGAGAAAACTAGCTCAGTATTTAAATGTGAGAAGAATGAGGATTCAGGCTATATTAAGACAAAATGTAAATTCTGAAAGACAACAGACTATATATGACATGTTGGTATCTTGGGCTAAAAGAGTTCCAAGGGCCATGGACAAGGTATATCCCCGTATTTTATAAATAGAGATTTTCAAATGTCCATCCTTTTGAAACACAAATGCAATTTCATGTAGCAGACCCTGGAAATGGTAGACTTTACCAATTTGTTCCAAAATGTCAGAATCCAGTTTTGTAACCCTTGGTTCGGATCTGCAATTGATCATTTTGTTCTCTGAATCTTCCGAATTGTCACTAAAATATACCAAGTGTGCATTTCAACACGCTGATATATTTAGTTTATTTGGCAGGATATCAACCTCAACATGAAATGAATCGAAAGAGCCAAACATATGGCTCCTTCAAAATATGTTTTAACGTCCGACAAACGTCCATGTAGGCTACCTGACAAGTTTGTGTAAAACTCGAGAACGACTATACCCGATTCAATTACTTTTTATTAGGTAGAAATGTTGTGTCATGCATTATCAGTTTGTGGCCGAGGTGATTTAGTAGAGATTCTAAGAGAACGAAATATGGAATTCAAAAGAGAAAAAGCTTTCAGTGCTAAAGGTAAGTCAGTAATATTTTAATACAATTAATATAGTAGATGTCGTAAGAAATGGTGACATACTCAACCGTCAATCTGTGTTTATAGGGTTAAACTACACTGGAATAAGCCCGAAGAGAATATATTCCTCCTTATCATGATTTTGGCCACATAAGTTTTGTCCTTAGGATGGAATAAGTACTAGTGTTCCCTCTGACTTAGACGCTATTTAATATTATCTATGGCGTGCAAATAAATGTTTACCTTGATAGTGTCTCTTTCAGATTCCTACCTTCGGAAAGCTTTTATAAAAATATCACGTGATGAGAAGGTGTCTGGTAATTGGAAAGTTCTAGCTAAAGGCTTGGGTTTAACTGACCAAACTTTACGTGATATAGAAGGTTCTCGACCAACACGTCAAGACAGATGTTTTTATAGTCTCCAGAAATGGCGGGATATTAAAGATTCAGAAGCAACTATACCAAATTTATCACAAAAACTTCGTGAATGTCGCTATCGAGTCTTGGCACGTAAGTATATCAATATTTGTAGTGATCTCGTGTAGAATCCAATACGTTACTTCAAATCCTGTGTTGGCTGCTTGAGTTATTCATAATCTGTCATTGGATTGATAGGTTTCTTACGAGGTTGCTCTGATTTGAGTTTGAAAAAACGTGGCGTTCTCGTAATTTGCCTTTTGCTCTATCCGCTCTGTTGTAATGTTACAAGTCTTGGTACGTCATGTCAATAGTGTTCCCCAGTGAGACGAAACGTTTTTAGAAAAACGAATCAAGATTGTCGCGCGGCTATTAGAACTGTAAACTTAATTACATCCTCGACTTTAACACTTATCGCCAAACTTGAATAAGACTATTGAAATATATAACAAGATGTTTTTTTCTATTACAGGTGAGGTAGAAGCTATAGGATGATAATGGGATTATCATTCAATATTTGTGCTAAAGTAGTTATAAGTATTTTTTATGTAGATAAAATATTATTTATAAAAATTTATTTGTTTTAAATGGGAGGCGTTATTTTGAATGACTTCTATTCATTGTGCCATTATAGAAGTGAAGGATAGAAATACATCCATCTTCAAAATGTCAAGCAATTACGAACTTCGTCTTATAACTTGACTACAATTGTCACCTTAATAACATTATTAGGGTAAGAAATTTCTCACGTTTCGCCCAACTTTTATGTTATGTTATTGTTAAATACAACACCCATAAGTAAACATTTTGAGACATTTTCAATTGCGGAATTATTAATAGAAATATTTAGTTCATCGGTATTTTTATACCAGATCTTCTTTGAATAGTGGTTATAAGCATACATTTTGTTTTGTTTTCATTAATTATCATTGAATTCTTCGTACACCATTTGACTATTTCTTAAGTATCATGTTGAAAACTTGCTTGAAATTGAGATAAAGCTGAATTTCTTGAATAGACAGTTGTAGATTACGGAACGCAACGGTTAGATTGAATCGTATGCCAGCAAATCCAGATAATCATATCCATGGACAGATATACTGTAAACATTGAGGCTTATTGTTTACAGGCTTTCTATCGGGGAATCTGATTACCTGTATTCGCTAATTACAGCTGTGTGTACATTCTGATCAATACACCGACACAATTTGAGAGTTGTTTACAAAAGTAAATCTCAAATACATCTGTCACATCAAACATGGATTAATAACTTGAAATATTGTCAGGTTTTATGTCTGTATCAATAGTTAACAAGACCACTACCAAATTTTTTTTGAATTCATAATCCTGTAAATATTAGTTATATTTCAATAACATTGACAAATTAAACTATGCTAAATTCTCATTCATCACTGAAGACCATAGTTCGCCATTTTCGGTGGTTGATTTACAACGTTTTGGATAATGACTTTTTTTTACAAAAATTCATTTCAAATATGGTGGAATCTCAAGAAAAGGCGAGTCTTTTTTTAACTTAACACGGATACACTATAAAACATTTTATGCTGGCTTAATTTCATCATATTATTATAAGCAACATCGTGTTTGTTGAGAGCATTAATCCCTCAATAAAAATATGAAACAACATAGAAATATCATGAACTTTATCGTATCGAAGTTTCATTTGTCAAAAGTGAAAATGGAATGAAATGAATGGAGTTTTACGTCCTACTTTTCTGCACAATGCGGGCTAATTAAGACGGGCAACGCCATGCAGTGTGCAATGAGGAACATTTTGCCAAGACAGCATTAGCCTGCTCTTTTTCGATTTCCAAGTGTCGAGGGATCTTTAATGTGCACAGGGCCTCTGCGGTTTTTTTGTATCCGACGACTAGACGCTTTTTCCATGTCAGTTCCTCTTACCTGCATCACTGACAGGGGGAAACCGGGTTGAAAAATCCGATGGTATTTGTCACAAGTGAAACGTAGTTACTTATAAAATGCTCAATACTGAACTCTTTCCACTTTTCGTCGATATGCATCTACATAAAAAGTACCATCTCGATCAAAATATAATTGTAACCTGTAAAGCATCTGCACCGAAAAGTTGAACCATTTATCGAAATATGGTTTCACTGCATAATTTTGAACGTGACAAGGAAATCGTAAATGTGTACGTTTTATCTCAGCTACAATCCAAAGTGCCAATGACAATAACTCCCAAACCCTTCCTCATAATTTCAACGAGATCTTATTAATATACATAGGCCTACCATGTTTTATCCCGATCAAATAAAAACTGTAAACAAATATTAATGATGGTCAAGAATTTTTAATCATAACAATACGGGTGGGTAGCAAGAGTTAAAAGTTCTTACATCATTTTCTATTTATAAGATTCATGATTTGAGCCATCCGTCCAAATTGCCTAAATTCCAGAGCAACAATTTCGTCATAGTTCTTCAGCACAATGCTGATATCACGTATAGAAAATTCTCTATTATTTAAACGTTTACGCCCCCAGTCAGAATCTACCGTGATGACCCAACGACAAATATTGGTCTCAACTTTATCAGGTGGTAACATAAGTTTGCAACGTGGTTGAAATTCAATCTTCTCTATCATAATATCAGGCTGAGACTGTAGATATTTTTCAACTGCCTCTTTCACATCCAAATGAGTCAGATCTGTATTAGGATAGTTGAAACAAACAGCTCCTGGTTTGGACTCTGGTGGTTTAAGTTGTTTCGCTGATCCATTACCCTGATTACTAACTAGTTGTTTTATAATATCATCTGTATTAGTTTTCTCTAAATCCTTCGCTTTTTCAGACTTCTGAGTCGTGCTGAAAAACAACAAAAATAGAAATGGAAAGATTTGTTTTCCAAAAGCTAACAAAAACATCTAGTCAAGATTTTTTTCTGAAGACTTTAGTATCCATTGTAATTTAACGACTTTTCAACCAAACACCCTTCCGAAAGGTAATATTGTTAACAAATCAAAGTGTGTCATGCTTCTTGATAAATAACAAATTGTGGGATAGCGAAAGCCAAAGTAAAGCGATATGACATCCTCCTTGAGTTTCGCTTTCCCACTATTCCTTATTTTATCAAGGCACAGGTTCTACAAAACACACTTTGATTGGATAATAATAACGTCATTAGGAAGGACATTTGGTAGAAAACTTGTTAGATTACAACAGAGACGCAAATATCAGAAAACATAAAAATACAATATTCTCAATTCTGAAAATTCATCGTATTTCCGGAAACCCACAAAAAAGTACCTCTATCTGATAGTTTCTTTACATTATAGGTCATAGTGAAGTTTGCATTTTGTCGTATATCAAATTTGGTGAACAATACTTGTGGCATATAATGAGCACAGCTCGACCAACTGTGTCATTAATCGTTTGCATTTCTCTTTGATGGTATCACATATTCGTAGGTAACCAGAAACTGAACCATATCCGATATTCATTCCAGTAATGTCAGTTATCGATTTATTACCTCGAGTGCTCAGATTATATATAATTTATTTCAGCATATGAAATCTTAATGTGATATGTGTTACATATTTGATCAAATAGTATAAATAGCCCCATCTAAAACTGCAACCAGATGCAATCAACTGAATACATGTGTTTGCAAATTTAAGCTAAAAAAAGACCGACAAATTGAAGGCAATTGAGTTCCAAAATCAATTTCTCTCAGATTTCATCAGCTGCATGATCGCAATGAAACACCCCAAACCCTTTCCGTAAATAAAACTTTGAAAAATAAGAAGCAACATACCTTTTCCCAGACTTATCGCACACGAGTGAATTAGTTGGACTGCTTTCAGTGACACTAATTTTGACTGGAGTGGACGGCGTATCAGGTGAAGCTGATTCTGAGTCATCTTGATCAAGCTTTGTCTTCAACTTTTCTAACTCATTACTAAATTCTGCTGCATCTTCGTCGTCTATGTCATTACCAAAATCACCAAGTTCAATAACCTGTTCTTTTCCAGACATTATATATATCACTAAATACAGTTACTTTCAAACATTCCAAATAGTGTTCATGACATTAAAAAATTCCACAGAACGAAGGAACAAGTGAATACAAACAGTATCCTCTACCCTTTTAGAGTCTTGTCTATATTCGTGTCTGTCAGTGTGTAATGGTGCTGAATTTTTAATGGCCAGATCAGTGTGAGAATCATATTGTTTGTCAATATAAACGATGTTTCTGAAACAAGATTCGATCCAATGTTTTAATATAAAAAAACAAATTATCAATTACTGAAATTCTTAGCATGGAGATAAAAAAACAAAAACAAAAGGTATCTACGAGACGAAACTTCAAACTTAATGTTTAAATTCCAACATTCATTCTCAAATTTATTCCTGAAATTTAAATAGTGGCTCACATTCACCTATATTAGTTGGCGAATTGATACATAATAGAGTAGGCTACCGTCTCCCTTTAAATAAATTTTCGTGATCAAAGTTAATTTGTTAATTAGTTCAACACTCGTCATGTAATCTATAAAATCTTCATTACAATACTAATTCAACCATTCCCTAATGACATCTGAAATATTTAAACGAGTAACAACACAAATCTGAAATTCAAACATTAACAAAGGTTATTTTTGTTGAATTACATCATGTTCAATTTTTAGCTCGTAAACACTCTATAGCAAGGCACAATTCTTGACAGATTTTGACGAAACTTGAAATGAGTGTTCGTAATCACCCAAGGATAAAGCCTAATGAAAATCAGAAAAATCGAAAAATATTTAGTATGAGTTATTGCCTTGTTTTTGAAAACGCGTTCAATTTTTAGCTCGTAAACACTCTAGATGACACAATTCTTGACGGATTTTGACGAAACTTGTTGTAAGTGTTCGTAATCAACCAAGTAAGAACCCTAACTCAGAAAAATCAATAAATATTTACAAGGAGTTACTGCCCTTGTCCTTGAGAACCCGTTCAATTTTTAGCTCATAAACCCCAGAAGAAACACTTGTTGACGAATTTTGAAGAAACTTGGGGAGTCGAAAATCAGAAAAATCGAAAAATATTTAGTATCAGTTATTGCCCCTGTTCTTTTAGCTCGTAAAGATTCTAGAAGGCTCAATTCTTGATGGATTATGACGAGACTTGGCGAAACTGTTTCTTATCATCCATGGAACAAACCTAAATCAGAAAAATCTAAAAATGTCACAGGAGTTATTGACCTAGTTCTGGAAAATGCTTTCCAATTAAACACTAAAAGGCATGAATTTTTACAAAATCTGGCTTTATTATACAGTTCCGCACTAAAAAAAAATGAACACTTTTTCAAGAACAAGGGCAATAACTCATACTCAGTATTATTCAGTATCGCCCTAAAGAGTTCAAAAGAAGTGAATGTCTGAAGGTTAAATATTTCATACTGGTGATTGTTACTGTACTGCTAAATATGTTTATTCAAAATCAAAGCTGTCAGTGGGCGAATATTACCTTGCCTGGCAAGCTCTCTTTCATTAGAATGGAAAATGTTGATGAACGAACGACAAATTGAATCTCGGGTCGTGAGTGTTACACCTGATTTAAGCTGTCCTGATTCTAAGCTCCTTCAGAAACTCTTTAAGCAGTTGGCAGCTGAACCAAACAATTATGTTACAAAAGTGTGAGAGAACGCCCCTTACCCCCTCATATGTGAGTAAAAAAGGCGGTCACACGAGTATTAAAAATGGTTTTGAACTTCTATAACTTTTCAATAAATACAAATATTGTTTTTCTAGGCGAGAAATCTTACAGCTGTCAATGGGAGGAGAGTATGATTTATGAAAATATGTCTAATTGCTTCATAATCTATTGTTCTATTATGATGTATTTCAGGAATACTCCTCATTTTTTAACAATCGTGAAATTTTGTTTTTACCTCTATTGTTTGTATAGATAAAGTCAACGTTGGCTAGATTCAAAGTTCATTGTTATCACCGTGAGTGGTGATATTCGATGTTAATAGTCCAAGGTCTGGATATCAACTGATTGTTAGTTGGTTGGGAGATGGCAAGTTAATCTTCGCTGCCAGCGAATGCTAATATCGGTAGTTGGATTGGTTCGAATGCGATGATTTTGTGTCGTTGGTTTGGTTTTTGATAATTCGTGATCTGGTCGGAGTGGTTTGGCGTGAGTTACTCGATGGTCTTCATTCTTCCAAACTGATTGATGGGCGTGTCTTAACTGCGTCTTTAGTGGGTATGTGGCCGCCATATTTCTTCGAGGGTGGCGACTGCTAGTAATAAATATGACGGTTTAATGGTTTTAATATTTTGTTAATAATTAATTTGAGCCTAATTAAATCAAGATAGCTTTAAAGGAAAACTTGAAACTGGTTGCAGTGAAATCTTTAAAGTTGAAGGGAGATAATCCATCAGAAAAATTATCAATAAAACAATTGTGCTATTATTCTCTTAATTGAGAATTATTGAGGACAAAATTCGTATGTATACTCAATGAAATTGCCATTATCATTTATTGGAGTGATATCAACACTGTCATTAATAGGAATGTTTTTACCTCTATTGTTTGTATAGATAAAGTCAACGTTGGCTAGATTCAAAGTTCATTGTTATCACCGTGAGTGGTGATATTCGATGTTAATAGTCCAAGGTCTGGATATCAACTGATTGTTAGTTGGTTGGGAGATGGCAAGTTAATCTTCGCTGCCAGCGAATGCTAATATCGGTAGTTGGATTGGTTCGAATGCGATGATTTTGTGTCGTTGGTTTGGTTTTTGATAATTCGTGATCTGGTCGGAGTGGTTTGGCGTGAGTTACTCGATGGTCTTCATTCTTCCAAACTGATTGATGGGCGTGTCTTAACTGCGTCTTTAGTGGGTATGTGGCCGCCATATTTCTTCGAGGGTGGCGACTGCTAGTAATAAATATGACGGTTTAATGGTTTTAATATTTTGTTAATAATTAATTTGAGCCTAATTAAATCAAGATAGCTTTAAAGGAAAACTTGAAACTGGTTGCAGTGAAATCTTTAAAGTTGAAGGGAGATAATCCATCAGAAAAATTATCAATAAAACAATTGTGCTATTATTCTCTTAATTGAGAATTATTGAGGACAAAATTCGTATGTATACTCAATGAAATTGCCATTATCATTTATTGGAGTGATATCAACACTGTCATTAATAGGAATGTTTTGTTTTTAAACAAAGTTTGAATTTATAATTGAGTGTATTGACAGAAGCGTTTTACGTACGAAAATAAAAAGTTAAAGGAAGACTAAAATTGAAATGTTTCAAGTTCAAGGGAAATAATCCAACACAAAATTTAACTGTAAATAAAAGTCTGCCATTTTTCTCTATTTTAAAGGATGGCAAATTTAATGCATGTATCATTTATTGGAGTGAATTCAGCAACATGTAGAAGCATTTTTTAGTAAGTCAAGGGCAATAATTCAAAATCCGTTTATAGAAAAATCATCAATTTCGAACTTTGATTTCGAATTTCGACCAAGATGTTATTGTAATACATGACCACATTAAAAATCATTAAAATCAGATGAAAATTAGGTGCCTCTTGATTTTCCGTCGCTGGACAGTCAAGTTCAATTAGAACAGATCAACATAAATGCGTTAAAATATAGAGCTAATGAAATTAAAAGGGATTATAAAGAGTTTTAGTGGAATTACAGGGATCACAGAAGGTCGGTGGGCAAGTTAGAATCGCACAAATCAGAGGCGGATTAATCTATAGGCAAACTAGGCAACTGACTTTTTCGGCCCATGGGAAATTCGGCCCATGACAAATTTTGTAACATTAAAAATTATCAAACAGTTAATAAATTTCCGCAGGCCCATCCTACTGGGAGCGTGATGTGTGAGAATCGACTAAATTGTTTGAGCCTAATGGTGATGAATGCCGATATCGTGCAGACATTGATGCTGATGAACTGAATGATCTGTTCCTGAAAAGAAAGGTTGCAAACTTCTTGCCATAAAATTGTAATCACACCATGCCACCTCCCTAAAATGAGAAATTAGGCCCTTTACCGTTCGTTTGCCCACGACCCAAGAAGTCAAAAATCCGCCACTGACACAAAACAAATTGATGATATCAGTGTGTAAGATAACAACAACAGCGTTAATTACCATTTATTACAAGGACAACATATCATACACATACCTTCAGTAACGAGGGGGAGACATGCTCTTGGGATTTCACAATTGAGAACCGAACCTTTCCAAACTAGCCATGATGTTCGTCTGTCAATGCCTGTCTCACACAAACATAAATCGCACGGACTTGCATACCACGTGATCTATCCAAGTAGTCCAATCACACCAGGCACAAGCTACCCGATACGAGTGTCGACCCGTACACAACATAGCTCCCCCTCTTAAAAAGACACGCCCCGGGTCGTGACTTCGAAATTCTATGGACATCAAAAATATAACATTTAAACACTATCGTCGAGCACATAATCACGCGACCAAACCGCTCTTCTCAGCCTTACTGGTCTTCCACCTCGATCTATGACTGTAGTATCTTCCAACATAGGTTCACCAACACCATCAGCAGCTAAATTGGGATCTACGGCCGGGTCATCAGTTGTCCTAGCCGAATCGAAATCTACCCCAGAACCAAGATTAAGTTCGTGGTAGTCGGCCTCATCCACCAGTTCTACATCATCACCCATTTCCTTGTTTCTGTTCCCAACTCCTCACTACTTTACGTTTGTCCAATCCATCAGTACCACTGGGTTTTATGCTGCTAGCCTGCTCACATGTAAACCCAGAAGCATTTGAAGGAGGACTTGTAACATTCTTCTCAACAACTTCATGACACACCCGACATGGCTTTAGATTGTTAAAATGAACAACCCTTCTTATTTCCCCCCCTTCCAACTTAATACGATACACCAAATCTGAAATCCTTTTCTTTACGACCCACGGACCAGACCATGGCCTCAGAAACTTTTTGGTCAAACCACGCTTAACATTTTTATTAGAACACCATACCAGCTCACCCTCCTTAAAACTCTCTAAAGATTCTCCTATCATAATAATCAGCCATACGTTCCTGACCTACACTCAAATTTTGTCGAACCAGTTCGTATACTTTTACAAACCCATCTTGCAATTCTTGAACATAACGTCCCAACGAGTGCTCCTTTCCTGGTGGACTACCATAAACTATATCCAATGGCAACTTATTTCTCTCCCAAACATCAAATAAACAGGTGTAAACTTCGTCTTTTTGTGAACACTTGTCCTGTAAGCCATCATAACTCTGGGTAGGTGAACATCCCAATCTGTATGGTTTTCGTTTATATATTTACTCATGTCAGCTAGGGTCCTATTGAATCTTTCAACCAGTCCATCAGACTCTGGGTGATAAGGAGTAGTCCTGGTTTTCTTAATGCCAAGGATTTCACAAACATCCCTAAATAACTTAGAATTAAAGTCAAATTATGAATTTGAAAAGGAATACCATACCTACAAATAAACTCATCTACCAATATACGAGCAACAGTCTCGGCCTTATGATCTACTAATGGGAAGGCCTCCACCCATTTGGTAAAATAGTCTGAAATGACAAGTACATATTTGTTTCCAAGATCAGATACAGAAACGGGAAATAATATATCTAGAGCTATCTTTTCAAATGGAGCACCGACCGAATGAGGTTGTAAGGGAGCAATTCTCTTCTTACTTGGACCCCTCCGACTTGCACATTTCATACAATCTCTACAGTGTATCTCTACATCCTTCCGTAATCCATACCAATAGAACCTATCCTTAATCCTTTGTTCGGTTTTAAGAACCACCGGATGTCCCCCATAGACCGCATTATGAGCCAAATTCAACACTTCTGAAACAGACCGTTTAGGAGTACTGTGCACTCCCCTCCGTATTGATTTTCAACACCTGACCACATAACTCCAATTTATCCCATTTAAGCCAATATCGGAGCTTCGATCAGTCTCTGCTTTAATATAAGATAAGATTGATTACATTCTGGACTCAAGCAAATCAAGCAAATTTCCCACTGCAAACCTCCAAGCACAGCTTCCATCAACCTCTGAAAGGTGCTTGGCGCCCCACATAACCCAAAAGGCATTACATTTAATTGATAGAGCCCGTAGAGTTCGTAACAAATGCAGTCTTTTCTCTATCCTCCGGCGCGACTTCGACTTGAAGAAGATCTAAGCTGCTAAAAATTGTGGCACCACTCAAAGCATCCAAAGTTTGATCTATCCTGGGCAGCGGATATGCATCTTTCTTGGTTATGGCATTCAGCTTACGATAATCAACGCAAAACCGACTAGATCCATCTTTCTTTGGTACCAGAATTATCGGACTAGACCAAGGGCTATGCGATGGGCTTATCAACCCTCCCTTCAGCATGCTATCGATATGTTCCTTTACTAATGGCTGCTTGGACAAAGGTAATCGTCTACACCCCTGTCTTATTGGAACACCATCGCCTGTATAGATAGGATGGTAAATTTCAGATGTTCTGCCTATATCATTCGGCCCCTTTGCAATAATATCAGAGTAAGAGTTCAGCAAATTTGACAGGTCTGACCGATGTTTCTGGTTCAATAAAGCAACATCTACATCCAACCCCAAGAAATTTTCTTCCTTCCCTCAACACTCAGGGTCGAGCTAACTGTCACCTTTGTCACCATGTCTGGACTAACCACATTCTGGAACAAACCAACTGTCGTATCCTTGTAAATTACAACCGGCCCAGGAGCAATATTCGTAACCCTCCAGAATCTGAAATGACTAAAACTCTGGCAATAGCAACGTTAGATTTTGATGAAAATATCTTGGAACCCTCCACCATTCCAACCTGTTTAGGGTACGAAACCGTTCTACCCTTAACAAGTAATTTACCAGGCAAGATCATCTCATGCCCCCCTGGAATTGTAACTGTTTCTGCTAAAGAAACTCGACATACAATACTTTTCTTTGTAGATCGTAATGGAATCGTTTTTCCATCAATCATAAGTTTCCGTGAATGGGTGTCAATTACTGCTTTACTTTTCCCCAAGAAATCAAGACCCAAAATGCAGGATTGCGCTAAGTCAGGGGCTACCAGTACACGATGGACTATATCCGCATAGCCCAGTTGGAACGTTAACCTCACCTCCCCCAAAATATGAATAGTTTCGCCATTAGCAGAAATGACAGATTCGGAAAAAGTGACCAGACGATTACCCAGAGGTGTGCTACGGCCTGTCGCACAAATTTCATCCCACAACCTCTTATTGATAAGCGTATAGACAGATCCGGTGTCCACCAGCATATCCGTTGTAATCCGTTCTACTAATTCAGAACACAGTAACGAACATCCTACACAATCTAAACTTTCAAAGCCTCCCCACCCCTATCCTTCAAAGGGCTATTTACATCTACGACCGACGGTTGCCCTGCACTTTTTGCTTTGTACAATTAGCCTGGATATGTCCATAAGACCCACAGCTCCAACACTGACGACGATCTGACCGATCACCAAATTTCGTGTACTTTCACCGTTGATGGCCAGCTTCACCACAATGCCAACATAGTTTGGGCCACACCTCGCATAGTCCGCTCTCGTCCAGACGTGGCCCCAGCTGAAGATATAGAACTCATACCTGACAGGAGTTTAGTCATCAGACTTATAAGCTCATCTGTTTTAGATGTGGTTTGCCCGCCAACTGCACCGGTCAAGTCGCTCACCACTGGTGTTGGTTTGTTAGCACTTTGGTTACGTACATCTCTTTCTACGGCTTCCCATTCGATACTCATTCTAACAGCATCATCTAAAGTTGCCGGATTCATGTGTCTAACCTTCAAAGAAATATCAACCCCACCCAATCCCCGTAAAAATTGGTCCCTGGCCAATTCGTCTCGTATACCTACACTGACAAGGGGATATGCTTTCCTAGCCAAAATTCTTAATGCATTGCTAAAATCAAAATAGCCTTCATCAGATTTTTTGACCCGCGTCAAAAATTCGGATTTTTACAAATCAGGACGGCGAGTGCCATCAAGACGCCTTTTTAACTCATCCTCCAGGAGGATCCATTCCCTTTTTGCCCCAGGTTCTATATCGTTAAATACCTTACGAGCTGAACCTTTAAGCTTGATGGCCACAAACTGACACTTTTCCTCATCTGTCCACTTGTTGACAGCTGCACAAGCCTCAAAACTCTCCAACCAATCAATAAACTCTTCTTCTTCCCCTGTAAGTGTGTCTGGAAGAACAATTGGCCTCACAGGCCCTTTACTTGTACCATCATTTTGTAGTACGGACCCAGATTTTGAACCTGAAGGTTCTTGTCCCCCCCCGAAGCGCCCTTATCACCCTTATGCATCCTTGAAATAAATCAAATATAAATTAAACAACTAATTTTATGGCTGGGGGATCCAACTTGGATCTCTCCCACGGAGATGCTATAACCTACCAGCACTCACTTTTAACCAACACTCATTAACATATATTTCCCACTGAGATGCTATAGCCTAACAGTACTCACTCAAACCTGCAAAGGTCGTCAACAACATTTCCATCTGGAAGGTTTTTCTGTACTAGTTGCAGAATATCTTCGATTTTAGCTCCACTTTGAGAAAAACAGCTAAGGTCTACTTCCTTGTCTGTTAAAAATCTCTCAAAATTCTTTACCCTGGAGTCTCCATAAAGGCGTATGTGTGTCCTATCTTTACTAGTACTACTGGTATTGTCGGGTGGACCCGGCAGAGCGAGATCCGAGCCACTCCAGCCACCACTGTAAGATAACAACAACAGCGTCAATAACCATTTATTACAAGGACAACGTATCATACACATACCTTCAGTAACGAGGGGGAGACATGCTCTTGGGATTTCACAATTGAGAACCGTACCTTTCCAAACCAGCCATGATGTTCGTCTGTCAATGTCTGTCTCACACAAACATAAATCGCACGGACTTGCATACCACGTGATCTATCCAAGTAGTCCAATCACACCAGGCACAAGCTACCCGATACGAGTGTCGACCCGTACACAACAAGTGTACCACTATACATGTAAAACCTTTAGGAAACCTCTTTACAATCCCTTTAATACTAATTTTTGAAATATGTACAGTTTTTCAACATTGTCAGCAAACATTCCTGAATTAAATTTCAGGAACTCAACCGTAAACTGGATACTGTTTAAACTCTGCATATACAATTAAAACATCTAACAATAAATCTTTAAGCTTGTTGTAAAAAAATGTATGTTCTCTTGCATGTTGATCGCATTCAGCAAGATTATGAATAATTCGTGAAATGAATAATTTACCACATCTATCACAAAGTAACGTAACTTGTCTATTTGTATATAAAAGGCAGATTTGTAAAAATAATTTATGATGATTAGCAAAATATGGATGAAATACCTTAGAAATTGGGAACATGAGTCACTCAAAATTTTGTTTTTCCATGCTCGGTAGTCGGTACCATGAGTATTTACAACGCCTTTCAAGAACAGATCGCCGTACCTTGGCGTTTGGCGAATATGTCCGTGACTCGGCGATCAGTGGCGACAATGGCAACCATTGTGAAAACTATACACCCCAAACAGAAATGTGTCCTTTAATGTATCTGAAAGTTTTAACTAAAAAAATCCAGGCGTTAATTTATTGATACAAAAACTGTTTAAAAAAGTTACGTAAACTCTTTAAAATTTGTTATGCTTTTTGGAAGCTGTTAGAAAACTATATCGAGCCAAAACTAGATCAAACTGTTTAATTAGCAATTAATTAATTACTCCGTTTTTAACCCCTTTAAAACAAATTCAGTTTGATCATGAAGATACCTAGATATAAATAGCAAACTTTAGAAATATTTAGGTAATCCAACTACAAACTACTACGACTACCAACAACTACCTAGTTTGCATATCAGCATCCGCTGGAAACGAACGTTAACTTGTCATCTACCTACCAACCAATATTTAGGTATAATTTACGACGTTTTTCATAATGAAAACTTTTTAATAAAAAGCGGAATGACCCTTAAGCCTAAGGCAATTATTAATGACTCACCCAATAATTGCCAAATTCGAACTTGACCGACATCTCAAAAATAAACAAATGCATATCAGGTTTCAATAAGATAAGACTGTGCCTCTATCGTGTATACAAGACATATTTGAGGCATTTATGATTTTAAGTCAAGGGCAATAATTCAAAACCCGTCATAGATTAAAGAGAAAATAAATTGATTTATTCGATGACAAGGGCATTGGCTTCGTTTCAAAAAATCAACTGATCAACTCACCGGAGAAAGGTGGAAAAGTATTGCGATGCATTCGGGATATCGACGAAATTGGGAGCAGTCTCATTAAAATTTGCAACGGACGATTGTAGAAGACAGTTCAACGATGTTCGCCGTAAAACTGCGATGGATCTGTTGACCATGACCAAGATTGGTCGGCGATGATCGACGATGTCTGACGAAGGTTTACAGAATATTTTCAACTATTTGGCAACAATCGCTAACCATTACAGAGGCATTGCCTACGGCGAAGGGTTATGAGATGAAAATTGTCGCAAACGTTCCGTCGTGATACACTTGTGCGTAGCTTCATATAGGTTTTTGCGTGCAATTTGGGCGACAAAATGTTGCGAATGAGTGTCCACAAATTTTAATGCAAGCATTGAATTTTAGCCATAAGGAAGGAATATGTCGGTAACCTCCTACATGAAGTATCCCTTTACTCTCCAGAAGAATATGCAGTCACGGAAGAAGTAGAAAAACCCGTCTAAAAAGATCGGAGATGTGACTATCATTTTATTACCCACATTTAAATAACATGTTGAGATGAACTTCTAATCCAACTTCCCGTTCATACCCTCCCATAACCATAACATCCAGGGGATCTTTGCGCATTCTCCTTCTACCCATGTCCGTGGTATTTTAACCAGATCCACTAAAGTTGCCATCAAGAGTCAAATATGAAGAATATTCATAATATAGTAAGTGATTAGTGTGCACTAATTATACAAGTCTTTAGTATGTGGATAATGTTTATAAATATCGGTCTGAAAAAGACTTCGATCGCGTGATCTATTAAACAAATATTCCTCTAAACAGTCAATAATAATTCCATCGTAACGTCCTAAGACTTTATTAACAATCACTTCTGGTCTATTTGTTAACCATTGCAGAGCGTTACTATTAAATACACATACAGCATGACGAAATGTCCCATTGCATACTATTTTGTCCCATTGCCACAAAACTATCCTGGAAATGTAATCAAAATTGGAGTGCTTTAATGTAACGTTATATCCTCCTGGTGCATTATTCAAGAAATTCAATGAGGGGAAATAAGTTTCATCTGGTGCGTAAGTGTCTTTCAGATAGTTCAGAAATGATTTTGATAACTCATTGGTCAATATAAACTTCGTAAAGTTTCTAGACATCAAACCATAAGCACAACCTTTTCTGTATTTTAGTTCATATTGAAATGGTTTGCTTTTTTCACCAATATAAATCGGAATATCACCAGAAATATCAAATCTTCTTGAATAACGCAATGCACTCCTGGCAGGCATTGGTTGACTTTCAAGGTCGTTTCTACCTTTTAATATCTTACATATTTTTACTATTTCAAGATTAGTTTTAATGGGCATTTCCGATCCAGCCATGTTCAAATGATATTTCCAGTTGACTTTTGAATTTAAGGCTTTTTCCATACACAATAAATCGGCATAAACCAATTTAATAGAACCATACACTGTTCGTATTTGAGATAAAATAATGACATTATCAAAACATTTGGCTATAGATTTTAAATGTTGATATGTTTTGGTACTGGAGTTTTGTTTATCAACATGTAAACAATAGAAATTGTGTGGACGATAAATAGTTCGTAATAATTGTTCAACTTGATTTTCTGAATCATAGAGTCGAATTCCAAAGGCTAATGGAAAATCTAGTTCCTCATTGGTAATATATTTATTATCATACCCATTAATTTGACGAAATAATTCACAATTTTCACTGATTTTAGTTAAATTACACAATCTTTTCTCGTCTTGAGGTAAAATCAAACCTCTACCAGTTTCTAGAATGTTTTTACAACTTATTTTATTCTCTTTTACCACTGAAAATTGACAATTTCCATAATGACTTTTATAATATTCTTGTACAGAGGGTTTCCATTTGTTTTCTTTCAAAGGCGTTTTATTCGTCACAAGTCCATTAATTCCATCGTCATTCTGATTTACAGGAATGTTCAACACATGATCTTTTTGGATTTTTTCTATCTGAGGAATCAGATAACGTGAATTTCCATGAAAAGAAAATGTAGTCCAAATATAAATAACTGCCAACAGCACCAGTAAATATTTAAAATACTTCACTGATATGTTACAATCTGAAAATAGTAAAATAATTCAAGTTATTTTCATTTATTTGAGGTTTATAATAATATATTAATTACCTTTGAATTCAGTAATATCCTTACTCACATTTTAAATTGCGTTTGAGCTTCACCATGTTTCCTTACTTTTTAGTAAATGCCAAAAGTTTTCGAAAAATTCATTATATAATAACATGTCATATATCAAAATTGATTTTTTGATTTGAACATGTGTTAAAAATCGTTTTATTGTTAATAGTAAAGCGACTGTGTCACCAAATCACATATAACTATTTCTATATTGCTATTTTAATTATTTTATTATTGTATATAACTATTATTAATATATTTATTAAAGGTATATATTTATTATTATAGGTAGTAGATCGCGCACTTCAACCAGAGAAAATGGAGATCAAAGGAATCAGTGGGGTGTGTACTGAGCACTGGAAGCCGGAAATGGAGGTCAAAGGAATCATCGAAGAATGCGGTACCGATATCTGTAAAGTGCCAGGTGCGTAATTGACACGATTGTGTCGCGCCCGTTTTTTGAAACCGATGTGTCGTTTATTTAATTATGGTTGATTCTCGGAATGGTCAATCGGTATGAAGAATATAAGAATATTTAATAGTATGATTCGTTAATTCTTTAATGTTTTGCCACGGGTTGTCTTTTTATGTTATTAAGAGATTGGGTTCGCCCGATTAAAATTTAAAGGATCGACCACTTCCGAGGCCAACCTGTGTTTGACCTTAATCGCGATAGATACGAATCATAATTTTCGAAATACGATACATAAACAGCCGTCGGGAAAAGTTTTTGTATCGTTTAAAATGTATGCATATGTCGAGGAATTTACTAAAGAATTCGATCGCATCTCTATAATTAAGTAAATCGGAAAGAATCCGCAACGATAATTGAACGCATTGGACTGCTTGAGGACCATTACCCTATACGTATCGATACTTAGATAATTCATTTGAAACGCATTGGACTTCTTGAGAACCATTAACCTACTTAAAATACAGATTTCACAAACAATAACATCTACTCATGCACGTGCAATATGACAGGTCACATCAGGTCAACTCACGTGTCATTAGATACACATATAAAAACTTTTTCAAGATGTCCGGTCAGGATTTATCAAAAATATACTTGTTCCAGGTAAATAATATTTGTATTTTATCGCTTCGTTATTCATTTCAATATTCAATGATTAGTGGTGGTAAAAAAGATACCGATAATTTTTTGCATGCAAGCAGGGTATATTCTATAAGTAGTTTTCAACCACATTTTCACTTTTCTTTGGGGACATTTGAAGTGTCACAACCAGTCACATGCTGTGAAAAATAAAAACTTTCCAACTACAAATATGCAACATTTCAAATTTTGACTACACTATACACAGCCTAAATTAACATTGTCTAGGAGAACTCAGATAACGGTGGGTGTAAAATTCCGAATTCCCAAACTGTCCGAAATGTCTGAATTGAGTCAGAAAAGACAAACAAATCGAAACTAAAATTGCGCCAAAGGTGGTGCACAAATTCGGGAAGCAAAACATTTTACATAAAAAAACGAATATTTTTAAAAGCTTTCTTTTGGTCAAATCACAATTTTTTTCTTTATTTTTCGTGTACACAGTGCTAATTTATAATGATGCCGTCTTACTCACTGCATGTTAGCCTTTTCCCATCATTCACATTGGCATCAAACTTTGTGACTTCAGTCACTTCCCTTTTCACATTAGTATTTTTACTATTATTATAGTATATTGTTGTCATTATAGTATACACGTAACCTTTACCAGTTAGGCTGAGCAACTCCTTTTTTAGACATATCTCTGAATGGGAAGGAGAAGATGTTGCCTGGTTGTGAAAAACAGCAAAAACCAAGAGTTCAAACTTTTGGTAGCTATCAAATCTCCCAATGTATTGTCACCTTAACATGTCATGGTTGCTATTCAAGGGAGATAATGGGAAGACGCGTTCGATCACAAAAAGTGTCCATTGAATAATAGCGATTATATTTATTAAAAATCAAAAATATCAATTCATAGACGGCATTATTATAAACTAGCATGGTGTACACGAAAAATAAAGAAAGAAATTGTGATTTGACCAAATGAAAGCTTTTAAAAATATTCGTTTTTTGATGTAAAATGTTTTGATTCCCGAATTTGTGCACCACCTTTGGAGCAAATTTAGTTTCGATTTTTTGGTCTTTTCTGACCCAATTCGGACAATTCGGGAATTCGGAATTTACACCCACCGCTCAGAGAATTATAGAACGTGCCTAGTGTCCAATCATAGATACGCTTTCGATATTTGGGGACATCAATTTCATGCTGATTCTCTTTGTGGACACATACAAAAACAGGTTAAAAAACCACTGCGATATGTGATCATTATTTTGTTATTATAGGTATCTTTCAATATCCACAATATTTTAAATTTCAATTGCATGTTATTTGTCTTAAAATGTATTTAGGTTCATAGAAATGAAATTTTATATTTGAAATAAACACGTCCATTAATTTTCGGTGAAACTGACTTACAGTTCGGAACAGAAAGTTCCCTCATATTCCAACTATTGTCTGGGCAAATTTTTTGAATTGTTTCGATATTTTTTAAGAGAATTGGAATATCAGTTGAAGTTAATATTGCAAAAACAAACAAAAATATTAGGCGAAATGCGATTCTGTAAATATTACGGTCGGAGATTAGAATTAAATAGAATTTACATAATTTTTGTGGACAAAACATCGGAGTCAATCATGAGTAAAATTCAGAAATAAGTCAACTCCATTTATTGTAAAATCACCAGAAGTGAGTATTTATCAATCGTGTTATGACGTCAATAAGTTGGATATTGGTCCGCAAAGATCAAAGGATGACGACACATCTGTATTTTAACTTGAAATACTTTATGTTCGAGGAAAATACATTTAACTAGAATCCTCATTGAGTGAGTGTACAATTTTGTTCGTTCGCGCTATCAAATGCCGTCCGTGTTATAATATAAGATATGCGTATTTTCTTATCGTGCGCTTTCGTAATTAACAGCTTTTTAAGCAATCACGCTTGTGCACAGGGGGTAATCGGAAAATCCTGGATTCCCTTAAGGGAATATTCTTCGGCATAAGGTAATTAAGCCTTAATTTGAAACTTATGAGACAAACTGGTATTTTACCCGATCGTTAGAATACTTCTATTTTCGATTTATTCCGATACCTTTAAGAAATTTTTCGGATACATTCAAGTTGCCTATGTGTAAAGGTACATTCCCTTATTCGTTTTTAGATCGAAACAATTTGGATTATATCGGTTCCCTACCGGCTCTTTCTTTTTAAGATTCCCGAAGCCTATCGCTTAAGGGTTTAGATGAGTTAAGGCTGTGTTGTAGTCAACAGAAAGGAAATGATCACTTCGATACTCGTAAAGAACTCGAAGATTATTGTCGCGACGACGTGAATCTCCTTAGGGGAGGTCGTGGTGTTTTTCTGAAACTCTTTGACGGGTTAACCGCGCTTCCCGCGTTTCATAGCAGTTCTACTATAGCTAGCTTGGCTATGATGGTCTATCGTACCAATTTTCTCCCAAATTTAACCATCGCTACGACCCAACCTACCGGATTTTTAAAGGCTCGTAAACAAAGTTCGTTAGCCTTACGTTATTTACAGGAATTTTCGGAAAACGTCGAAATTAAACACGCGAGGAACAGTGGTGAACATCGCGTTCAAACATTGGCTGTTAATGGGTATTATCACTGCCCCTTTCGAATCGAAACGTCGTCGTAGAGATACTTGGTTGCGTGTTTCACGGGTGTATTCTTTATCAAAACAATCGCGAAAGAAAACATCCCTTTAACGACAAAACCATGGATGGTCTATATCGCGTACTCTACGACTTGAACGAGAAAATTTAAAGACCCGTATATTTGGGAATGCGAAATCAAAGCTATAGCAGTCACGTGAAAGGGGCGGCGGTCATCTGTGGTCTCTGACAATTTATCTTCAATATGTAATTTGGACCGCGACTTTGGAAATGTGGACGTATAATGCCGTCGCCCCTGTCCGTCGGTCCGTTGATCTGTCTGTCGGTCAACATTTCTTGTGAACACAATAGAGACTACAGTTTTCAACTCATTTTAATGAAATTTAGTGTTAACATTAATATTGATGAGATCGTGGACAAGTTCGAATTTGATAATATTTCGATGAACAGTTTTTGAGTTATTGCCTTTGATTTAGGAAAAACAAGTCAAATTTTGTTTGTGAACACATTAGAGACTACAGTTTTCAATTGATTTTAATGAAACATTGTGTGATCATGTATATTGATGCGATGATTTGATGTATTTGTGTTACTGATATTGATTTTTAAAAATTTGGTTGAATTTCTCAGCATAAATAACTGGCAGTAAATATATATATCATTGAATTCAAACTAATAAAATTTACTTTAATATGAGAAAATTCGTACTTTAGTCACTAAAGACTGTTTTATAATTTCTGACAGCTACCAGTGGACGTATGTTACCTTGCCTGGCAAGCTATCTTTCACACCTTGAAAGGTATTGATGGAATTCTGGCTTCATCTACTTGCGCGACTTGCTCCACGTATATCTGCATCTGTGTGGTCTCTTCTCACGCTCCTATACGAAGATTGCTAACAAAGTACTATACAAAACGTGCCTTTATGAAGGATAAGAAAAACATAAGATGTCTAATATACGAAAACCAGATGGAAACCACTATAGCTGAAAAGTTCCAAGTACCTAAAATACTCCAATTCAAGAAAGTGTCCATAAATGAAGAAAAATGAAAAAAAACGCTCAGCATACAAAACCAGATGTCTTTTAAAAGAAAAGAAAATTGAAAGTACATGGTGCACAGTTGCGACTTCAACTCTCTCCTGGATAAAATCAAATTAAACTTACACTTAAAATGAACTAATTACAAATTATACTAACCTAGAAATCAATTATGTTAGTTTTTTAGTATAACATCATCACCCAAAGAAACTTAAATTTAAATCAATACTTATACTTACCAAACACTAGTGTATTTGATACTGTTTATTTGATACTTGTCAAACTGAACATAAAATACTGTCTTATAATATATTTCTATTGTGCCAGTCAAACATTTCAAATCAAAATTTGAGATTACTTACACTTACCAAACACTAGTGTATTTTATATTGTTTATTTGATAATTGTCAAACTGAACATAAAATACTGTCTTATAATATATTTCTATTGTGCCAGTCAAACATTTCAAATCAAAATTTGAGATTACTTACACTTACCAAACACTAGTGTATTTTATATTGTTTATTTGATAATTGTCAAACTGAACATAAAATACTGTCTTATAATATATTTCTATTGTGCCAGTCAAACAATCCAAATCAAAATTTGAGATTACTTACACTTACCAAACACTAGTGTATTTTATATTGTTTATTTGATAATTGTCAAACTGAACTTAAAATACTGTCTTATAATATATTTCTATTGTGCCAGTCAAACATTTCAAATCAAAATTTGACATTACTTATACTCACCAAACACTAGTGTATTTTATATTGTTTATTTGATAATTGTCAAACTGAACATAAAATACTGTCTTATAATATATTTCTATTGTGCCAGTTAAACATTTTAAATCAAAATTTGAGATTACTTATACTCACCAAACACTGTTTTATTTTAGACATTAGACATTTTAAAATACGTATATACATGTATTATTACTTTTAACATTATGCTATTTAGCTATATTGCAAGAACCAGTTGGTTTGTCACAGTATTACATTTATACATGCATCTTTGCAAAATAACCCCCACTTAACTTTCACTATTCTAGACTACATAATGATTCATTTTGTACATAGCCCCTACAATTTTTCACTCTTATATGCTTGCACTATATTTTGTTGCCCTATTGACTTTTTACATTCTTATCCCCAAGTCTTATCACTATCCTCCCTACAATTTCTTTTCTGCTCATGATTTGATTGTCGTCATCATTGGTCTCCGGCGTGATATGCTATAACCTATGCTCGGATGGTTGGATTTTGTTATAAAATGTTCGTACTTTATAACCCTATTGTTGCAGAACTGTGGAGTTATTCACCCAAATCCTGGGCCAAATGCTGACTCCACCAGTCTCCTTCATTTAAATATTCGTGGTCTATCAACCAACCTCATTCCTTTACAAGCTGAATTACCCGACTGTGACGTTCTCACTTTCTCTGAAACGCGGCTTGGTGACACAACTCCCTCCAAGAAACTGGAAAAAGATTCATATCACCCACCAATTGTTTTAAACCGCTATAGCCTTGGTGGAGGGGTTGCTATCTATGTTATATTTAATATTATAAGTAAACCTCGCTATGACCTGTGTGTTCCTGGCTTGGAAGTTGTACGGAATGAAATTGTTCACTGTACATTAAGTTTTTTGGTTGGTGCATCTTACAGGCCTTCGGGGTCGTATGTTTCCTACTGGGATCAAGAAGGCAAACCCCTCATCTTTCTTGGTGACTTAAATGCAAACCTTGAAAACCAGAAATGAACACAAACTAAAAAATATGATAATCAACCATTCACTCACACAAATTATCGACGGCCCTACGAGAATCACAGAAACAAGCTCTTCACTCCTTGATTTTGCCCTTGTTACTTGTCCTAATCTTGTCCTTGATTCCGGCAGGAATTGTCCAATTACTGGTCATCTATGTCTAACAGGACAACCCAAACTCAAGCGTACTATCTGGAACTACTCCAAAACGAACTTTGAACATCTGAACAGCTTCTTCTTCAGCACCAACGGGAACTTTATCTTTGACTCTTTCACTGAACCAAACCAATTGACAGAGCAAATATCACAAACCTTTATCAATGCGCTAAAACTGTTTGTGCCCCACAAGGAAGTAACCATTAGCCAAGGTGATAAGGAATGGGTGAACGGATATCTTCGGCTTTCGAAAACGCAATAGCTTGAATAGAGGAGAAACATCATCAATGACACCTCGATCATGGCAGCAGTTTCGTCAGTTTCGAAATGTTGTTACTGCAGAGATTCGTAGGATCAAACGAGAATATGACGAACAATTGGATGACAAGATAAGTAACGGCTCATTCCAACAAAGTAACTGGTGGAAACTTGTCAGATCGGCAACTTTTCGACAAGCAGGTAATAATGTTAAAATTCCGCCCTTGCTTTCGGAAAACCGAGTCATTAATAACGATGATTCAAAATCAAAGCTGCAAGTTGGTGTATATTACCTTGCCTGACAAGCTATCTTCTACTGTCAAATCACATTCTGACTACTGCCCAATCAAGATGCAGAGAAAAGGACTCATGTGATGACCAGCTCGTTGATATTTACAATCAAATAAGTAGTGAAATAGATGGAGGGGTAGAAGTAAAGACCATCTTTTTGACATTAATAAGGCTTTCGATAGAGTTTGGCATCCCGGACTCCTCTGGAAACTTGTGTCAATTGGTATCAAGGGAAATATTATCGAACTGCTTAGGAGTTATCTATCTCTGTCGTCTTAATAAATGGCCTTGCGTCCAGAAGCAAAGCAATCCCAAATGGTGTCCCACAAGGGTCTGCACTGTAAAAAAAATTTCCTTCGATTAACAGAAAAAATTCCGGCAGCTGATTTACCAGAATTTAAATTTTGCCTTCAGTTATATAACAGAATTTCTTGTAAAATATTTGCTTTAAATAACAGAAATATTTTACTACAAAATCTGTTAAATTACAGAATGACTAATAATATTTCCTGTAATTAACAGAAAATAGGAAGGATATTCTGGTAAATCTGCTGCCGGAATTTTTCTAATATTTCCTGTAATTTAACAGAAAAATAGGAAGAATATTCTGGTAAATCTGCTGCCGGAATTTTTCCTTCAAGTTCTGTAAAAAAACAGAATTTTAAAAAGGATATTCTGGTAATAAATCTGTTGCCAGAAATCATTTTCATTTTACTGTAAAATAACAAAACATTTCAACTTTATGTGTTTATTGGTATTATTTGTGCAATGAACATAATCAGAGAAAATGATGTTAACTACACCTTTAATTATACAACTGAAAATGTGGGCGTATAAAAACAATCTCTTGCATAAAAACAAATGATGAACTTGAAATACATACTCATCACTAATGACATCTTTAACACATCTTTTAATGACATTCTCATAACTAATGACATCTTCATAACGTTCTGATTTAACTAATTTGGATTTAACTAATGTCTTTTTTTATTTATGTTGACACTCTTTTCTCCACATTGCCCATATTTTATTAATATTGACAGAACTTCAAGGACCTGTGGTCCACTTCACTTTTTTTAGTGTTCCACATGGTTATAAGACTCCATCATCCAGCACAATACTGTTTATGATGCAACTCTAATCATTATTATAAGGCCTAATTGTTTTTGATGTGCACAGTTAATTGTTGCTCGTTCAAAAGTCAGGTCAAGTCTCATAATGCTCCGTAACTTTTAGCTGGTAAATAATGGCAGAAACTCTAAAGAAAGGGAAAAGGTGACATACCTGAAAAGATAAATTTAAAATGAGAAGATATTTGTTGTGCTAATGTACTGTAGTAGTGTAGTAATAGTAGGGCACTGGATCTTTTAGTTCGAGAAATCCAGAGTCCAATTTGCCCTCGTTTACAAATTTTGTAATGCCTCGCCTACGTGGTGGGTCCTAACATTGAGTGTAAACGGTTAAGGTTTATTGACAAGAATATTAATGACAAAATTCTATTCCTTGTATTCTTGTACTCTGGTGCAATCATAACCATAAAAGGCTGAAAAAGCGAGGATGTACAAAAACAGAAAAAGAAATTATAAATTAAAAATAATAAAATAGTAAAGGCATAAGAAAGTGGATGGAACTTAAGAGCATGATGCAATGACACACTTATGTATAGCAGTCATGGGTGGCCGTACAAAATAATTTCTTAACAGCAGGTTGCACAGTTTGACATCAATAAGACATTGCATATGTTATTAATAGTAGGTACAAACATTTTATATAGTGTCACATGTACAAAGTTGGTGGGAAAACTGACTTGAGGGATCTATGCATAATTTGGCGCCATTTTGTCGGGTTTGTTTACATTTTGGTAAAAGTTTTCAGACAGCATGAACAAATATAAAATTGCAATAGAAATTATGGATCCTGTGATATTTCATATCGTTGGAGGTTTTCTTATGTAATCGGGTATAAACTTACATTGCGGTTGGCTAAACCTGAAGAATTAGAGAAATGAATTTGAGGACTTCATTGCCATAAAAACATTATTAATTTTTCTACTCTCTTAGACTGAAGAGTTCTAAACAGAAAGATGACTCTTGACAAGACTGATCTAAGTTTCAGACCACAAATACCACACATGTATAAAGTGATAAAATGGTAACATTACAAATTTATTTAGGCAATAATTAAAATACACTCACCTGTGAATTTGTATTCAGTGATCATTTCCACTCTACCCAAGACCAAGTAAGCTAAGCCTAGTCTAGTTCATCATGTAGGATAAATTTAAGTCATTTTGTCGTTGTCCCCACACGCTTAAAATTCAGTAAAAAATTTTGCAGTTTTTGACAAAGGGTGAGTTTGGAAAAAAATAACACAGAATTTACGTAAATTTACTGACAAATAACGTAATTGTTCTTAAATGACATACGACCAAGATTAATTTACGTAAAATAACATATTTCCTTATTGCGGAACTAACATTCTGTTAATGTAAGAACAAAGTCCGTAAATCAACAGAAAAGTATGTATATCAGCAGAAATTTACGTATATCAACAGAAAATATCAAGTAAATTTCTGTAAAAAAAACGGACTTTTTTTACAGTGTGTGTTGGGGCCACTTTTATCATCAAAGACATCAAGTCCTCACTTCGGCTATTTGCGGATGATACTTCCATGTATTTGTCAATTTATAACCAATATGCTTGTCAAAAGAATTTAAATGAAGATCTAAGATTAATAGAGAACTGGGCCTAATCATGGAACGATGACTTCTGTCCAGAAAAAAACATCAGTATGACTTTCTCCCGTAAAATACCACCAACATTTTTTTCTCTAGCTTTCAATAACCAATCTGTAACTGATTCTAACCACCACAAACATCTAGGTATTATCCTTAGTTCAGACTGCAAATGGAAAGACCATATCAAACTCACTCTGTGATAACAAAATCAACCAATTCAATAAATTGTTCACGAGCCATGAAATATCGGGTGATATATATGATATATAAATCATTCATTCTGTTTCACTTTGATTTTGGAGATGTTATTTCGGACAACTGCACTGAAACTGATTATTTCGACTTGAAACCTTTCATCTTGGTCAATTTTTTGTCGGTACCACAACACATGTCGCCAACACATTGGGGGATATTCAGCTACGTTAGGTGATGCCTCTGCAATGGTTAGTGGATGATCGCTAAGTACATGTGGTTGAAAACATTCTGTGAATCTTCGTCAAACATCGCAAATACAACACTGAATATTTCCGATAAATCTGCAACCATCGCCGACCAATCTTGGTCATGATCGGCACATTGTTGACGAACATCGCAGAACAGTAGTCTAAAATTAACCGGACCTTTGCAGAATCATCTACGCTGCAAATTGTAATGGGGCTGCATCATTTTTTATAGAATTTGGTCGCTATCGATCACAGGGCATCTCAAAACTTTATCTCATTTCCCAACGCAGACCTTCGCCGATTCCTACATTTCCATTTCCGACCTTACGACGACAGGAAATGTACTACGTCGCGGTCAAACGTGTGGAAAACTAGAAAAAAATTCCATAAAGAATTACAAACTTAAAGACAATCAACCTCATACCGCGTGTTATGCATCCACATTGCATTCTAACATTTTCTAAGTATTTGGGGAAATACTGAATAATATTTACTGAGTTACTGCCCTTGTTCTTGAAAACGTGTTCAATTTTTAGCTCGTGAAAATTCTAGAAGGCAAATATTCAACCTTCTGTGTGGTACTGAATAATAAAACCAAGTTTTGTCAAAATCCGACGTGAACCGCGCCCTTTAGTGTTTGAGAGATAAAATTTGAAAGCGTTTTCAAGAACGAGGTCAATAACTCCTATGAAACATTTTTCGATTTTTTTAAATTTTCAATAGGGTTCATCCATGAATAAACAATTTCAGTTTCGTCAAAATCTGTCAAGAATTGGACCTTCTAGAAGGTTTACGAGCTAAAAATTGAATGCGTTTTCAAGAACAAGGGCAATAACTCATAGTAAATATTTTTCGATTCTTCTGATTTTCAATAGGGTTCATCCTTGGGTGATTATGGATAATCACACCAAGTTTCGTCAAAATCCTTCAAGGATTGTGCCTTCTAGAGTGTTTGCGAGCTAAAAATTGAACGCGTTTTCAGGAACATGGGCAATAACTCATAGTAAATATTTTTCTGATTTTCAATAGGGTTTATCCTTGGGTGATAAAAAACAGTCATGCCAAGTTTCGTCAAAATCCGTAAAGAATTGTGCCTTCTAGAGTGTTTACGAGCTAAAAATTGAACGCCTTTTCAAGAACAAGGGCAATAACTTATACTAAATATTTTTCGATTTTGCTGATTTTCTATAGGATTCATCCTTGGGTGATTACGAACACTCACACCAAATTTTGTCAAAATCCATCAAGAATTGTGTCTTGTGGGGTGTTTACGAGCAATTGTGGACGGACAGATGGACGAACATGGGTGACAGCACACATGAAATGGGGGGGCGTATAAAAATGAATGAAAATAACATATCCAGACGACGGAGTTATTCTTCTAATGATTATACAATCCAAGGAGTTTTTAGCACATCTTCCACGGCATTAAAAATAGATTCACAAACAATGATACAAGGAGCCAAATATAAAGGAAATCAAATTCTGAAAAAGGGGGCACTAATTATACAAGTCTTTAGTATGTGGATAATGTTTATAAATATCAGTTTGAAAAAGACTCCGATCGCGTGATCTATTAAACAAATATTCCTCTAAACAGTCAATAATAATTCCATCGTAACGTCCTAAGACTTTATTAACAATCACTTCTGGTCTATTTGTTAACCATTTCAGAGCGTTACTATTAAATACACATACAGCATGACGAAATGTCCCATTGCATACTATTTTGTCCCATTGCAACAAAACTATCCTGGAAATGTAATCAAAATTGGAGTGCTTTAATGTAACGTTATATCCTCCTGGTGCATTATTCAAGAAATTCAATGAGGGGAAATAAGTTTCATCTGGTGCGTAAGTGTCTTTCAGATAGTTCAGAAATGATTTTGATAACTCATTGGTCAATATAAACTTCGTAAAGTTTCTAGACATCAAACCATAAGCACAACTTTTTCTGTATTTTAGTTCATATTGAAATGGTTTGCTTTTTTCACCAATATAAATCGGAATATCACCAGAAATATCAAATCTTCTTCAATAACGCAATGCACTCCTGGCAGGCATTGGTTGACTTTCAAGGCCGTTTCTACCTTTTAATATCTTACATATTTTTACTATTTCAAGATTAGTTTTAATGGGCATTTCCGATCCAGCCATGTTCAAATGATATTTCCAGTTGACTTTTGAATTTAAGGCTTTTTCCATACACAATAAATCGGCATAAACCAATTTAATAGAACCATACACTGTTCGTATTTGAGATAAAATAATGACATTATCAAAACATTTGGCTATAGATTTTAAATGTTGATATGTTTTGGTACTGGAGTTTTGTTTATCAACATGTAAACAATAGAAATTGTGTGGACGATAAATAGTTCGTAATAATTGTTCAACTTGATTTTCTGAATCACAGAGTCGAATTCCAAAGGCTAATGGAAAATCTAGTTCCTCATTGGTAATATATTTATTATCATACCCATTAATTTGACGAAATAATTCACTGATTTTGGTTAAATTACACAATCTTTTCTCGTCTTGAGGTAAAATCAGACCTCTACCAGTTTCTAGAATGTTTTTACAACTTATTTTATTCTCTTTTACCACTGAAAATTGACAATTTCCATAATGACTTTTATAATATTCTTGTACAGAGGGTTTCCATTTGTTTTCTTTCAAAGGCGTTTTATTCGTCAAAAGTCCATTAATTCCATCGTCATTCTGATTTACAGGAATGTTCAACACATGATCTTTTTGGATTTTTTCTATCTGAGGAATCAGATAACGTGAATTTCCATGAAAAGAAAATGTAGTCCAAATATAAATAACTACCAACAGCACCAGTAAATATTTAAAATACTTCACTGATATGTTACAATCTGAAAATAGTAAAATAATTCAAGTTATTTTCATTTATTTGAGGTTTATAATGATATATTAATTACCTTGAATTCAGTAATATCCTTACTCACATTTTAAATTGCGTTTGAGCTTCACCATGTTTCCTTACTTTTTAGCAAAAGCTTTCGAGAATTTACTTACATAATAAAAAATTAGAATTGATTTTTTGATTTTGAACATGTGTTGGAGATTATAAAATAGAACAATAGATTTGCTGCACAGAATTTATTGTTAATAGTAAAGCGACCAATTCACATAAAACTATTTCTATATTTCTCTACAATTGATGTATTGAGCCCCTATTTCGATTTATATGCTTTTTAATTCTTGGGTGATAATGAACGATTCCAACAATTTTCTTTAAAATCATTCGAGAATTGTGCCTTTTAAAGTGTTTATAAGCTAAACCTTTTAATTAGGTTAATCCTAGGGTGATTACAAACACTCACAACAAGTTTCGTCAAAATCCGTCATCGTGTCGACAACGCATTTTCAAGAACAATGACAATAACTCTTTACATATTTTCAATAGGATTCATCCTTGGGTGATTACAAACACTCACACCAAGTTTTGTCAAAATCCGTCAGGAAATCCACTCTCCACATGCACCCAACAATTGTGGATAGACAGAGGCAACGACATTATACGCCCGCATTAATTTTCGCACTGAAATAGTATAATTCGGTTCTACCCAGTCCTATCCGAATAAATTACAGTGGCTTTTGCATTGGCAAATAAACTTACTCGATTCTAGAAGTTATCCAGATAGACAAGTCTACCTCTAGGCTAATTGAAAATCGCAAGAAAAGTATTAATTAAGTACGTCGATATGCTTGGGAAGACAAAACCGAAAAAAAAAAATATTTTGTTATTATGTTCATATTAAATACCGATGACCATTGCATAGTTTAATTCCGTCAACTGTGACATGACGTGTTACTAACAATAAAAAGTTATCTAGATTGCTTTTTGTGGCATTGCGAAAGCGGTTATCCAGATAGGATTTCTATTCGGTTATAACCAGGAAACTGACGATTCATAAAATATTTTAGACTTTATATACCGTAAGGTTTTTTTTCTTATTTCCATGGTATTATTTATATAAATACACAAATTTCGTATTATTTCATCATAAATAATTTTGGAAATTTTATAAGATTATGGGGATTTTGCTAGCACCATTTCGGCAGAATTTGCATCTCAAATCTTCTAGTACCTAGGCTTTGGAAAAAATTACTTATGGTTCCGTTTTCCCGACCGAAGGTGTTCCAAACCCAGCGACACAAAAAAAATTATGGAGTGTTTGATGATTTTTTTTTTTTTTTTTTGATTTTTTCAATATTTGAATAGATCTACGTTATATTACAACACTGACTGCCAGAACATCATATAATGTGCACAAATGCGTGTGCCAATTATTGAATACAAACTTTCTATTTCTGAGATTACATATTTCGTTCAATAATCAGTTCACGAGATTGTGCTATAAATAACTGGTACTTCACCATCAGTCCAGACACAACTCGTGCGCCCTTTTATGCCTCAGATGAACAAGACTATACGCCCGATCATTTTGTTGAAATATATAAATAATATAGTATGTCTCGATCAATCAAGACCTGCACCAGCTACTACTAGCTACATAAAAATAAATGCTTCCAGTAAGAGTCCTATACGATCGAGACTACTCTATATTTGGACATTTTTGTTTCCTAGAAGTTCTATAAAATAATTAGAATTGGTTTGTTTCGATTTTCTTTATGAATCCCTCACTTTGGCCCATATTTTATGAGTAACCAACTCGACAACGGCGGCAAAATGCGTCGCCTATTTTCGTGTAAAATGTTTGATCTATAAATAAGTCGAGAAAGAAGCGTTGTATAGATACTGCAGCGATACATTTAACTTCTCTTAGTATTTATCTTTAATAATTTTTCATTATAACTAGTGACAATGCCTTTAAATGATTTAAGAAAAAAAAAATTGACTGACAAAATTAGATAAGTAAAACGTAAGAGTGATTAATTGCTAAAAGTCATTGAAACAACATAAGGATATTACCCACATTGTGTTCCATAGAATTTTTCTGCTGACACGGAGTCCGCTAGCTTGTCACATGACGTCGTTCGCTAGAATATATTCTATCAGACGACACTTGAAATTCCGATTACAGGTTGAGATTATAAGGAAATTCGGCCGATAAGAAATTTTAATATTTGGTAATAACTGAAATCTGCCATTTTGTATTTGTCAAAGTATACATTAATACATTTTACCTTGCTTAAAACTATTGGATTTATTCTACTAGCTGACAGTGTGCAGACAACCCATGTTGATCAAAACAAGCAAATGCGGAGGTCACGCGAGGTCACACATGTAAATTATTAATAATTTCCGGGGATGCACGAAAAATAAGTTAGTACGAAATTAGGTTACTTGACTGTACTAAAATAAATTTTATAAAAACTAGAAAACTAAAATGAATGAATTCCATATATTCGATTTATATAACCGGTAAATTTTTACATTGATAGTCAACAAGATGGCGACAAAATATATTATTCAGGCTTCAACAAATCAAAACGAAACTCGACTTAACTATAGTCATGAAATGTGCTTTTGAAAGTGCCACTCCGCACTCGATGTATGATCGGTTACATGCTTCTCCGATGTTTTTTGCCTACTGTAGTTACGTCAGAGTGTGGTAAGCCAAACACCTTGACTGTCCTAGCAGACGATCTATTTGAAAATCCGGTGATAGATTTCATGCCAATATTTAAACACAGATTCATACTCTTCACATGTAAAATTGAACAGTCAAAACAGTGTGAAGTAAATACAAACCTTAAAATATAAATCATTTATCTCATCCAGATAGGATTTATTCCATGTATTATTTATATAATATAAAATATCTAAAAAAAATATTTTTTTCCTACCTACCTTATCCATATGACCTTATGAAAACGAAACCATAAATAATTTGTTCCACCGCCTTACTAGATGGTTAGTATGTTCGTTCCTTGTTCCATACTGGCTAGACCCTTCGACCTAGAGTGTCCGTTATCCGCAGACTAACTTACAACTCGAGTGTCCGTAGACAACTCTCACCTCGGGCGTCCGTATCATACTGACTAAAAAAATACAATCGATCAGTAAGGGAGAGTACAATAGAAAATAAAGTGGAATGTTAGTATGTAGATTAAGATGTCACGTAATTAAAACTACATTTCTTTTGTCTGAATGAAAAATTCATTTGTAGCTGATAACTCTACTTTTTTTCCCGTAAATTGTGTGATAACCCCCTTAACGTATTTCGGCCACAAAAATACCTTAATACAAATCTCTATTTAATGTTTTTCACCGACTTAAATTAAAAAATAAATATAAGATAAAAAGGCATAACAAATAACAAGGGTCCCATGTCATTAGGACAATAAAACAAGTCTATCACAAAATTAATAGCAAATTAAGTAAGATGAAATGAGATTGAGTAAAAGAAAAACAACAGTATATTAAGATGAAGTGAGCACTGAAGGAAAAAAGATAGTAAGATAATACTTACATCGGTTGTCGGGGCAGTGAGGGCATTCCATATCTTAGCCATGCGAAACTTTATTGTGTGAAGTCCATGGTAGGTAGCCTTGACTCTTCCTTTCTGCCTGGTATTGTCAGTGTTGATATTTATAAGTTTGGATAAGTAGGAGGGCAGTAGATTATTTTGGATTTTGTAGCATTCGGTTGCGAAAATCTTTTGACTGCTAAGATGGAGGCTGTCCATATTAGCTTTGATGAGGAGCTGATCGTAGCCCGAATCGTGATCATTAAATACAAATCTTAGTGTCTTTTTGGCACTTGACTCTTTGCTGCAAAAGTTCCAAATTAGGTGGCAGTAGTTGAAGTTTTAAACTCCACCGGGAGATTGACATAGATCAGACTAAAGGCGTCCGACTTTTTGCTTGAAAATAAATGGCATTTGGAGATGCATACAAATTCTTTGTGCTCTTTCGATAAGATTACCATATTCGATTTGTAGCAGGTGCGGGCACACGAGCGGTCTTGGTCGCAGATTTTTGTCGCCGACTAGAGTCTTGTCGAGTTTCACCGACTGGCACGGGCACACGAGGAGACAAAAATCTCCATCCAGTCCTTTTCAACCATGTCGATAATTAGGCTACTTGCGGAGTATGCAATTGAAAGGAAAATGAAGGTAGGTAGGTAGGTAGATGACAAGTTAACTTTCGCTTCCAGCGGATGCTGATATCGCAAACTAGGTAGTTGTTGGTAGTCGTAGTAGTTGGTAGTTGGATTGGATCAAATTGGATGATTCGGTGTTGTTGGTTTGGTTGTTGATTCTTCGTTAGATCTGGTCGGGTCGAATGACATGGCGGTGAAACTCGGTCCTGGATGGTGTGGCGTGAGTTACTCGGTCTCCTTCATTCTTCCAAACTCGTTCTGATCATGGTATTTCTTGTTGATTGGTAGTCGAATGGTAGTTGTTGGTTTGGTTTGATTTGGTTAGATTATCTGTTATCTGTTGGAAAACTCGAAGACCTGAAAAAAAAAGAAAAAAAAAGAAAGTGAGAAAAAGACGGAGGAAAGAGATGGGGGGAAGCTTTCACAAAAGGGGGGAGAGATGTTCTCTAATGTTTCTGCAATGAAACTTGTTAAATTGATTGGATATAATTAAAAAGTGTTAAGAAACTTTGAGTAAAAAAAACTTAGCCTATCTGTTCAAGACAGATTTGGTTATAAAATGGAAGACTAGTTCCATTATCGTATACCAGTGGTCCGTGGGTGGAGCCAAAACATTCTGTATGGTGAGTGGTATGCCGTTGGTTTCCAGATACTCTAGTAGTGGCTTACGAGCGGGTTTCAGTTCAGTGCATTAAATGAGGACATGCGACCTTGTGGCAACGTGGCCGCAGCGACATTTAATAGCGTTGAACTGATGGTCTCGTAGTACGTTGTTGGTCCGGAGTCTGGTTGCCACTTTGCAGATGGCTACACATGGATGGTTTGGTTTGGTTTGGTTTGGTATCTTCGGATCAATCTGGTATCTTGCGGTGTCGAGGTTCCGTAACATGTCAGACCATTT